GATTATATGAAGCGCCGCACCTCTGTGTTTTCTATGCACCCCCCATTGCCCCTCCTATCCACAGTAGGCACCTTAACCCCCCTGGTGGTATTCCTGAGTGAGTGTAAAGTTTCAGCACCACAAGCAGTAACCCCCCCCCCCCTCTCCCCCCCCCCCCCCCCCCCCCCCCCCCCCCCCGAGCTACACTCGGGAATACACTGCAGCGTTGCTCCGGGATCCCTGAAGCACTTACCTTGTCCTGCGCCCCGCAATGTCCCTCCTGCAGTGTCCCCGGCAATGTCTTCTGGCGGATGCCGGCATCCGTCTTCCGGGTTCCGTTCCCTGCGACGGCGGGAAATTTTAAAATGACAAAAAGTGACATTCACTAAAATCACATCGTATAACATTCCTGTATCAAACCATTTCACATACATTGTGTCCCGAGTGCTTTGTCCGGCGCCCTGCCTGCATTTTTACCACCCTTTCTGCCTGGAAACTGAGAAACGTCCATGGCGTCCAAAAAGCGTCCCTTTAGGTCAGACGCGGTTTTAGACCGGCTAGAGAACAGCGATAGTAAATCAGAACCACTTGCAGAATTGAGTGATAATGATTGGTGGGGGAAATTCCTCATCAGACACTGAAAACGATTCTGCGACTGAGCTCAGCGATGGGCCAACTTGGCGCTCTATTTCACATTTCAGTGTTTTGGGTGATTATATTATTGAGTTACATTTATTATTATTATTTTTTATGATTATTTATTAAATTATAATTTATGATTTCGTGTTTCAAGTTTTACTCCCCGGGATGTTTACTAGACTCTTGTTTGGACAGATTTCAGGGAGTTATTCCTAAAAATTACAGGCCGACAATAAAAAAAAAAACGACATATTTCCACGCAAAAAAATGTACCGCTTTGAGCACAGAAATACTGACATCATCAGACCGCTAGGGAGGTTAATAGTGATGATAGTGTGAAGTGTTATCATCCTTTTTGTGGACTTTTCTTTGTTTATTGAATAAAGCATTTGTTGTATTTGGACTTTAGAGCAAGACTGGACAATGACCACCATCATAGCGCGACTCCCACTGGGCCATGTGTGGCTCTGGATCGATCCCATAATGGACGATTGAGGCTATATGTTTTTTCCTCTACAGACTTTGCCATTATTTCTGACTTCACCCGCGTAAAAGTCCTTGCGCTGTGTCTACTGTATGTGCCTTTTATTGTTTGCTCCTATCCTCACGGAGGATCTCATAGTGTCAGGGTCCTGTCCACGGCAGGAGTTCTGGAAGATCTGGCATTTCTGCCAGTACTCTGCATGGCCGCAGAAGGGCACATCAACCTCAGTCTGGTGCCAGGCGGCCTTTATAAGGAGGTTTATCACTTCCTCTGGTTGCTGGATGATCTCTAGCTCCCCGTGCCCTGTTCCTGGTTCCTGTGGTTCTGACCCGTGATTTCCTGTTACCGACTCGGCTTGCTCCTGGACCTGTCTACTCTGCCTTACCCCTGATCTGACCTTGGCTTGGCTTACAGATACTCTCTCTCGCTCCTCTGTGAATGACCTCGGCTACCCCATCTGACTACGTCTGCTCTGATTCCCACCTGGTACCTGACCTTGACTTGAACCGACTACCCAGTAAACATCCAAATCCTGGAAGGGCTTGCATACCTCGCACAGGCGCCTCCTGTCTGTAGACCTATCTCCGTGCACCAGCTGTGCTTCTGAGTGGACGACCAACCAGCCCTCCTACAGGCAACCTGTGCAACTTTGGGCCTGACTCCCGCAGTCCCACTCTCAGGGGAGCCTGGAACTTAGCCACAAGGGAAGCCCTCTCTCCATTGGCCTCCATCACCAGGTACGTGATACATAGCAGCAGGACCTGTTGGGACAATTTCAGCCATCAGTGGTTGAGAAGGTTTAGTGCCTTGGGGATTTATTTGTACTTTTTGGGCCAGAGATACAAGAGAGGCCAGCTTGTCATTTCAGTCTCCTATGAGGCACGCGATACTCCAGCTGAATGCGACAATTAGTGCCTCCACCATAACCTGACGCAATGAGAACCTTCACAGACTTACAGTTGTGGTCAAACGTTTGCCTCTCCTGGCAAAAATTGCCCGTAAGGTGTGTCAAGATGTTGTTGGGCATATTGTAACCAGGCTTTTTTTGTGGCATTGGCGCAGTAAAAGCTTCTTTCTGGCAACTCAACCATGCAGGTCATTTTTGTTCATGTATTGTCGTATTGTGCGCCACACCGTCTTTTTCCAGAGCAGCCTGGATTCCTCCTGAGGTCACCTGTGGGGGGGGGTTCTTCTTTGTATCCCAAACAATTCTTCTGGCAGTTGTGACTGCACTCCTTGGTCTACCTGACCTTGGCTTGGTATCAAGAGATCCCTGAATTTTCCACTTCTTAATAAGTAATTGAACAGCACCGACTGCAGTATTCAAGGCTTTGGATATCTTTTTATATCCTTTTCCATCTTTATAAAGTTCTAATACCTTGTGTAGCATGCTCCTAGTTAGCTAGGGGGAGCTAGAGACCTGATTGACAGTTAGGGCTGAGTAGCATCCTAGGTGCAACAGTCAGAAGGTTACATAGTTAGTCTGGCTGAAAAAAAGACAAAAGTCCATCCAGTTCAACCATTAAAATGAAATTTAGGTCAGAGCTGAGAGGCTCTGCAGACCAACCCTCTGGAATTTCTCCCTGCTGTAGCTCTTTGGAGAAAGGTCTAGAAGCAGTGGGTGGATCTGCGGAGTGGCTGGCCTGAACTCTTGAAGGATCCTGGAGAATCCCCAACAGGGGACTTGGAAAGGGGCTGGGACAACCTTTAAGAGTCCTGGAGTCTGCTCAGCTGCAGGAGAGAGTTCAGGTGGAAGACAGGGAGGAAGATGGAAGGCTGAAGGAAGGAGACTGGGAGGAGCTCAGATAGAGAGGGGCTCACCTACAGGCAGTAGCACTGGGAAGGTGGAAAACTTCAGACTTTACCGGCCCCCAGAGAGAGGACCACCTGTGTGGCAGGGAAGGAACCATCCAGCTAGAAGGCCTGGTAGTGGCCACCAACCCACCAGTCGTGCAGGAGAAGGATCAAATGAGTAGACCTGCACTCCCTGGGTCAGATATGGGAGGGAGGATTCGACCACCACCACCCAGGACTGTCTAATCCGTTAAAACGACAAATCCTCCCTAATAAAATCATAAAAACAAAGCTCAAGGACTGATCTCTGACTCCTGGATTCAAGTCTGCTTGAAAATGTGCTTTATCTGGCTGTGCAGGGCTATAGGGGACCCAAAATCTTTGCAACACCTAAGGGGGTAGTGCTACACTTGTTACGCAGGTCTTTTGTCAGTTGTCTGCTTCCCATGCTCAGTATGTAGACTTCTCAGTGCATCCACAGGAGAGCCAACAACCTCACTGACTATGTATACAGACACGACGGCGACTTTCACACTGAAGAGTTTTTGAAGCATTTTTGCATTAAAAAAGTGCCTGAAAAGCTCAAGAAAAACACTTCCCTGTGTATGTGAATGTACATCCGTGTATGTGAATGTCTATGTATGTGAATGTACATCTATGTATGTGAATGTCTATGTATGTGAATGTACATCCGTGTATGTGAATGTCTATGTATGTGAATGTACATCTATGTATGTGAATGTCTATGTATGTGAATGTGTATCTGTGAATGTATATCCGAGTATTTGAATGTACATCCGTGTATGTGAATATCTATCTGTGTATGTGAATGTGTATGTACATCCGTGTATGTGAATGTCTATGTATGTGAATGTACATCTGTGTATGTGAATGTACATCTGTGTATGTTTTCACACTGAGCTTGCGGTTCGGTGTAAAAACTCCCGCTTGCAGCATCTTTGGGGCATGTTTAAGGAGTTTGAAAAAAATGCCGCAAAAACGCTTCTTCCCATTGAAATCAATGGAAAGCTCCTCAAAAACGCCTAAAAAGCGCCTCAAAAATGCATCTGAGAAGCATTTTTGGGTGCAGTTTTTTAAGTCACGTGTCCTTTAACCACTTCTCACCCAGCCAATAGGAAAATGACGGCCGGGTGGGACTCTAATGCCTCCGGGAGGACGTCATATGACGCATGCCCGTGCTGCGGCACGATCTGTCACCGGCCGTGTACCTCAGACACGGCCGGTGACAGATCTGAGTACCGACCCCATTGCCAGTACCATGTGACCTGCTGTGTCCAATCATAGCAGGTCACATGACAGTTGTATACAATGGATGGCTTCCTTTCATGCCATCCATTGTATACAAGTGTGTCTAGGTGTGAATGGTCACAGGGATCACATGCACAAGCTGGGTCAATCACAGCCCATCTGTGTCATGCAAATTAGATGTGGCCAATCACAGCCCATCTGTGTCATGTGATTAGATGTGGCCAATCACAGCCCATCTGTGTCATGTAATTAGATGTGGCCAATCACAGCCCATCTGTGTCATGTAATTAGATGTGGCCAATCACAGCCCATCTGTGTCATGTGATTAGATGTGGCCAATCACAGCTAATCACAACAAAAAGACCTGATGAATTGGTTTCATTCATTAATTTCATTCAGATAAATGCTTGCTTATAGCAAAGAAATTCTTTACTATAAGCAATCAAATTGTGTAAAAAAAAAAAAAAACTGATCACTTCCCCAAACTAGTACAAGGTTACTATGGTAACATTACACTACTTTGGTCAGTGCAATATGAAAAAAAATCTTTGAAAAAAGAAAAAAATGTAATAAAAAAACAATAAAACATTTTTTTTTCGTACTGTCACCAGTCAGTGTCCCTGATCACCGCCATGCCAGTTATATGACGACGCTGCGCTGCTCTGGTGACAGGATGGAAAAAAGAAAAAAAATAGTGAAAATATTTTTTTTCATTTCTTCATTTTCCAAAACATTCTGACAAAAAAATTACAACTTCAAAAAAATTCTCCAATCTTCTTATGAAATATGCGGACTGTCTACTTTGTAAAAAGGGGTCATTTGGGGGGCTTTGTAT